TACTTTTAGCCATGACCAATAGACGACGAACGTGGTGCCGAAATTATTTCGTTGCAAATCAATTTGGTGACAAAAATTTTACTATTGGAGATGAAGTGATTTTGTCATTGAAGAACCATTTTGTTGTAGTGTCTCTCTCTAGTTCTTGAGCTTTTGCACCAAATACTCTCAATCCGTGCATTTCCTCACCCTAGTCCTTTGGAGTAAAAGATAGAGCACGTCGAGAGTTTCATTCTAATCGAAGAAGTTAGTGTTTTTGGCTCTGTCGAGTTCTACTTCTTGTTTCCTTTGGTCTTCTCCTTTCAGATAAGGATTTCTTTGACTCTCTTTATGATTTTTAGCTTAGTTATTTGTCTTTTTAAAATAGTTATATGATTGGGAAATTTTGGTAAAACCTAGGATTTGGTTTGAAATCAAAAGATGAGTTTTTCCAAATTGGTTCTTGAAAAGGGTTGTAGGAATATGGTTGTGGATGAGTTGTGTCGAAATGATGGAAAGCTTTTCTCAAAATTGATTTTGGAAAGAAAATAGAGTTTTTGCCCTAATATTGGATATTTGAAATTGTGAAAAGGGAAATGAAAAATGATATTGGATATTGTGAAATTGGAATAATGATTATGTTAATAATGATGGTAGAGTTGGATATGTGTTATCACTTCCATTGGAATTGATGAAAATGTACCTTTGATTGGAATTTATTATTGAATAAAAATATTTGTTTTGGGCTATCGGTAGAGGATAATCTTGATTGTTGTAGACATTGCATGAGAATTAGGATGAATTGAAGAAAATTTCTTATCCATTGTACATTGTGCATCATTTTACATTGAACATTTAAATTTTTTTTTTTTTTTTGTTGAGAAAAATAGGTGATTACCGTGGTGAACCTAGTTAGGGGGTGTAGTTGTGGTTTTACTATGTTGGCATGTGTGTCCATGGTGAAAGTCCCGAAACCCACACTGTTAGGTGCCGATCCTTCCGATTAGTACCGGTAAAATGGCTTTGGAAGTGCTTGTATAGCCTACTTGCGAACATGCACCTACAGATTCCCAGTGTGTTGTATCCACTGCCCTGTTTTCTGTGTGAATGGATTATTTTCATGAATTGACATATAATCTGGCATTGCATTGTTTTGAAATAGAAAATGAGAAATGTTTGACAAACGGCATGCATGTGCATTCATCTTATGATTTTGCTAAGATTCATATACTATGTTAGATTATCTCCACTGGGTTTTGGCTCACCCTATGTGGAAACAACTTGTGCTGATGATATGCCTCCGCCAAGGACATAGCTAGGGAGGACTCGGAGCTTAAGGCTGCTTTTTGATTTCTTGATGTAATTATTTTTTTAAGCCTCGGGCTTTATTTGTATTGAGTTTAAACTTATTTTGTTGTAAATTGTCTTGGAAAGTTGTAAGCCATTAGGGCATTTCTTTATGTGATTTTAATTTACTTTCTACTCTTATATCCATGTCATATGCTATAAATTCATAATTTAGGATTTGTGAATATATATTGCATATGCCACCCTTTGTAATGATCAAAGATAAAATGTATAGAAGATATTAGATTATTGATCAATTGACTTACTGGTATGAGTTGGATTTTATGTTAATTATTTCGGGATGTTAAAATCGTTGAATGACTAAGATCAAAATTTTTTCATTGGAAATCTACATCTATGCAAACGGATCCTAAGAGTCCCATGGTACTATATATGAATACCCTTCAATGATGAGATTTTAGCATTCTCACAAGGTAAGCAGGATTAGAGGTGAAAAAACAATTTTATCATTATTTTACAAAAACAACAAAAAAACAACAGAGCTTTTACGTAATTTAATAGAATTAATTACAACCAACTAATACTATCACACTAGTTTACAAACAAATGCAATTTTTATTTTATTTTTTATCAACAAAAGAGAATAATATTATTAAAAAACAAACATTGAGGAATACAAGTAGAGAAGGCCTGGTATCAATGGCGTCATAGCTCGAACATCCCAATTATATTGGCATGGCACCTACCTCCAAGCCCAATTATGTGCATACCAGACAACTACAACAAGAGTTGGCGAAACCAGGGGACTACCACGCTCAAAGAAAGTGATGAGCTTTGATTCTCATGGACTTGATTCCTTCCAAGAGAAGATGAAGTCGTTCACTAAGTAATCTGTGAGATTGACTGAGCACTTTACCCAAATGGCAGTTTTTAATTTCACAAGCTCCATCAACTCCCCCCAATTGGGATCTTTTTGGAAAAATGCCTTCTCGTTCCTTGTGAGCCATAGAGTCCATATGATAGCTAGCGGTAGGACTTCCCAGATGACTTTAGCCAAATGCTTAAGTTATGGTCATAGCACCATGAAAGAAGATTTGGTATGGAGCTCGATGAAACCCACCTTAATACCGACCATTTGATGCTTTCAGACAATACCTTCCATGAGGAACAACATAACAGTAGCAGGTGGTTGGTGGTTTCAGTCTCATTTCATTTCCACAAAATGCACAAGGATTGGAAGCGGGGATGATATATTTATTTATAATAAAAGATCAGATGAGGCAGCTTGGTTCCATCATGCCAGCCACCAGAATGCTTTTACTTTTGGTGGTTCTATTGACTTCCATAACTTCATGATAGGAAAAGTCGGAGATTCAAAGATGCTTCAAAGACACGGTAAAATCAATTTACTATGAAAATTCCAGCAGGTGAGGGGTCCAGACCAATGTCTTTATGTCCGTCGCTGAATGTTAGAAATTTTTGTAAGCGATGAATAAGTTCTTGCTGAAGTTCTTCCTCCCAGGCCTATAGTCTTATTCTATACTCAATGGTCTACTATAGTTGACTAGATGCACTCCTGCTTCGGAATAGATTATGAATATTAGTCTTTATCCACTACTAGAGAGAACAGCCTCGGATAAAGATCAGAGAGAGGAGTGTTTGAAAGCCAAGCATCTTTCCAGAATTTTTAGTCTTAGCCCATTGCCAAGCTTGAGAATGGTATTGCTAAGAAACAAATCGAGAATCTGAGAGTTGCATCTTTCCAGTCTAATAATATTCTTCCATAAAACAAAACAATTCCTGAAGCTTGAGCTATTTGGAAGCCAACAAGTTTGATCGATATTGTTTTTGGCACATATAACTCTTCGCCAGAGGGCATTGGTACATATAACTCTTTGCCAAAAGGCGTTCTCTTCAATAGCAAACCTCCACCACCACTTGCAAAGAAGGGATTCATTATTCTCCGTGGTTTTCCAGAACGCAAGGCCTCATAACTTTTTGCTTACAGAACAACCTTTTTCTTTTGTCCCAGGCCTGTAGTCTTCTTCTATACTCAATGGTCCATGATAGTACTGACTTCACCAAAGTGATCCTGCCTCTTAGAGAAAGATATCTCATTTTTCAGGAAGACAACTTCTTAATGTTCTTGACAATGGGATCCCAGGTTTTGATTCTCATAGGATTTGGCCGTAAAGACATGCCAAGATATTTTATTGGTAGAGCCCCAACTTTGCATTTCAGAAACTTTACCACTTGGTTTGTCAAATCATTACTGATGCCAATCTCGCAAATGATTTATTTATGAAAATCGATCCTAAGCCCCGAGATTACTTCAAAACAACGAAGAATCCTTTTGAGATTAACGATCACATTCCAATTGGAATTGCAAAAGACTAACGTGTCATGTGCAAATTGGAGATGGGTGAGATTGAGGCCTGACTCACCAATGTCGACACCTTTTATTAAGTCAGCCTATTTGGCTCTTTGGAACAGAATGTTTAAACCTTCAATTTATCTCACATCTTCAATCTAATACCACCACACTAGTAATTCTATCAGCCATTCCCATAATAATCATAATTTCAATTAACTTAATCCAGTAATCAAATGTGACCTTGGTACAAACCAATTTTCACTTATTAGTCTTGGTTTTTGTGTTTATCGACAATTTTTACTGACCACTTAAACAAAAAAGGACTTCAAGCCGAGCTTGAGAACATAAGGTTGAGCATGAGAATAATCACTTCAGCATAGACTAAAGGTTAGATCTCTATCCAATCTTATGACACTAATTAGCCACTTTTCTTTAGCACAACCAACATTGAATGTCTTTTGTATGTTCATTTTTAGAGTACTTGCTTTATGCTTTATGCTTTATGCTATTATTTTAGTGGTATCTACGAATAAACTTCTAGTTCGCAATAAATAAATAAAAATGAAACTTCTGCTAAATTTTGATCTAGCAGTGATAGATGTGACATTTCCTTATTGGAAGCCGCTTGCGTGGGTCCACACCAGCTCCCAATCAAGAGCTGTTATTTCCGTCATATTTAGACCAATAATGAGCTTGATTAGCATTGCTCAAAGGAGAGGGGAAAAAAATGGAAAAAAAAAAAAAAAAAAAAAAAAATTTAAAAAGAAAGAAAAAAATGTCATATGAATGGTAAGCTCTGTAACTTTTATTGTACAATCAATATATGTCCACAATGGTGCATTTTGATCATTTACACAATGCATAGTTAAGAAAAAGTGCAATCATCAAAGTTCAAGCGATTGCTATTACTTGATAAAAATTTGAGTGATGAGTTTCATGTCTTCAAACATAGCCAATTTGGAGAAGTAGCAATAGATTGCAAAATCAGAATTAAATAGCATTAAAGAATCAAATAAGACTTTCAAGCAAGCACAACACACACATAGAGCACGCCTTTTAATGGATCAAATAAGACTACTACACTTAAATTCAATGATAAATGAATCAAACACGATAAACAAAAGTGTTAGACCCCAAAAATTCTGCCAAAAATTTTACCAAATGTCTCACATGAGTATGGGACCCACATGGGGCCCACATTGTGTGAGTCTCACACCCATGTGAGACATTTGGTAAAACTTTTTGATAAAATTTTTGAGATTTCTAGCATTACTCCACGATAAATTACTCAAGTGTTGTGCATTGTTTTCATGATAAGTAACGAAATAGCTCAATCTCGTCTAGTAAGATCCATTTGGTTGTTTCAATAACTACTTGTTTCTGTACATTAATTAACTTTGGCACACTGCAGTTGTGCAGCTAAAATAGAGTGCATGTCCATCCTAATCATGGTCATAAGAGACAATAAAAGAGCACCAACCTCATCTGCTTATTACTGGCTCTGATGTGCTAGGAATGTTTCCAAAAATGTATTAGATAGAAAATGTTTTCACAAACACAACCAGTACATCTCAGTAGCGTTACAAGAATCAATTCTGCTTCCATTCAATTCTACTACCAGTAATCCCCACAAGAGCACTTCCCATCTTTGAAATGGTGGAACCGCTGTACATCTCTGAGAATTATTTGTCTTTTGAAGACTGATGATATAAATTTAGCAGCTGAATGGCAATCTCCACAGATACGCAAATTCTTCACAATACGAATTGTCATTCCAGATGGGGTGTTTAGAAGGCCAAAAGCAATTGCCAGTTTTTCACTATGATATCTAAGAGTAGCTTCTTTCTCTCTATCTTCCATATCTGCATGAAAGACCAAGGAAGTATCTGGAACATACCCAACCAACTTTAATTCCTCAACCAATTCATCAAGTGTCTTGTGCAATTCTCTATGCTCAACACGTGTTCCATCTCCCGAAAAGAATTCATGTACCACATTGTTCACCTCTATCGAGCTACATCCCGGCACCTTTTCCACCCCTTTATCTTTCATCAATTTCCTGATATAATTTACATCTTTCCGTCTCCCAGCTCTTGCACACATGTTCGAGAAGATCACATAGTCCCCACTATGTGAGTCATCTAGGCCAAAAATTTTCTCAATTACCAGCTTCCCCAATTTTACATTGCCATAACTGTTGCAAGCTGCTAACAGGGTTCTCCAAAGTATTGGAGTTGGCTTAATTGGCAGTTCATTTATGAACTTATAAGCATCATATAAGCGGCCTGCTCGACCTAGCATATCCACCATGCACCCATAATGCTTGATCCCAGTAGAAATTTTGTACTTGTCTCTCATACTGAAGAAATACCCCCAACCTTCATCTACCAAACCAGTGTGATTGCATGCATATAAAAGACCCAAAAATGTAATTGCATCAGGTTCAACATGCGCCATTTTCATCTCCTCAAATGTAGATATAGCTCTATAACCGTGCCCATGAATCGCATAAGCCACAATCATTGCTGACCATGCCTGCGTGTCTCTGAAAGTCATGCTCTCAAAAACGGAAACCGCATCATTCAAGCTCCCACACTTTGCATACATATCTATTAGTGCAGTGCTCACTTTAACATGCTGATCAAATCCATTTCTATTGACATACTTGTGTACCCATTTCCCCATATCTAATGCTCCTAACAAAGCGCAAGATGAAAGAACGCTAAGCATTGTGACATAAGTAGGGTTGACATTTCTAGCTTGCAATTCCTGGAACAAAGACAAGGCCTTGTTCGGTTGACTACTCCTAACATAACCAGCTATCAATGCATTATAGATTACTACACATGGTTCTAATATCCTAGAAAATATCTGGGCAGCCGAGTCCATATCATTGCATTCGGTATACATGTTTATTAAAGCAGGATACACATAAATGTTACAGTTCTGCCCATGTTTAACAACAAGGCAATGCAATTGCTTCCCTTGTTGTATAGCTTTAGAACTAGCGCATGCCTTGAGGAGAGAGGGAAAGGTGTAGTTGTCAGGCACAAGGTTGGGGGTTTGGGTGAAGAGAGTGAAAGCTCGAAATGGGGAAGTAGTTCGGGCATAGCCACGGGCCATGAAGTTGAAGAGAACAATGTCTGGGTTGGGAATTTGGTCGAACAGGTGGTGGGCATGTTCCATGGAGGAAGTGGTTGGGTGGACGGTGCAGCAGTTGATGAGCTTGGTAAGGACAGAGATGTCATTTTGGAGGTGGGTTTTGATGGAATAGGCTTGGATTTGCTTAAGCTCTCTGAGAGAGTTGCATTTGGGTAGGAGAGAGAGTGGGTGGGTGTCCTTTCTTGGGCTGGCTGTGATGGGTTTTGGGAAAGGTGGTGGGCTTATTGGTGGAGCTGGGGTTGCCATTTTAGACCTTGAGTAAGGAAAAGGTATTGACTAGTGTTGTTTGAAGGTCACAGAGTTCAAGGATAAGAATTGAGCTGAGCATGAGTTTCTTGAGCAAAACCCAACAACAGTCAAGCAAAGCTAAATAGCTACCAATGTCCGGTACCAAAACTATGTGCAGCTGCATGTCGAACAGATAAGAGTAATACTAGGATCATGAAAAAATATGTCATGAAAATGATCATGAAAATTTCTCCGCCTTTAAATTACACATATAATAAAATATCAAACATTAATTAAAAATAAAAAATCTTTATGATGCATTTCATAATTTTTTTTTTTATGATCCCTATCATTACTCAATAGATAATACCAACCCTATTGTCAGAATCAGTCCAAAAGCCAGCCAAAGTAAAAGCCGAAGCCAAAGCCCAAAAACCAAAAACAAAAACTTTGGAAAATTACTTACACCTCTGTTGGGTTCGTTTGAAAAGGGCTATTACAGGTTTTTTTTGGCTATTTTAATCACAAAAAATAAAATAAGTTATTTTAGTCACAAAAAACAAAACATCACATATAATCCATAATCATTATACTTTTCTCTCACAAAAAAAAATCAAAAAAGCCAAAAAACTAAAAAACTCTTCCCAAACCAAGCTTTTTAGTCCAGGCTAAAATAGTCAAAAAAGCCAAAAAGCGAACCCACTTCCCAAACGGAGGCTATAGATTTTTTCTTGAAGTTTCAAAAATTATATTTTGTCCCATCGTAATTAATGTCGTTAACGGATATCATAAATTGACTAAAATATCCTTTTGACAAATAAGGGCAAATTACCTACACCCCTTTGAAATTTAACTAAATTACAGATTCCCCTTGAGATTCAGTTAAATTACAGATTCCCCCTGAGGTTTAGCTAAATTATCATTTTTAAATAAGTTATGAAATGTAAAATTAAAATGGAAAAACACTTATCACATTACAAAAATTAAGGTTTTAGAGACCAAAATTTAGAGATAACATTATTTTTAGAGGACCAAATATTTTTGTTGCGAAAAGTGTTGTTATTATATTTTTAACAATGAAAATTCAACATTAGTGATTAATTATTATCTTTTTGGTATCAAATTTTTTGTCTAAAAAAATAAACCTTTTTTAGACCAAATTATTTTGTCCCTAAAAGTCTATTTATTATTGACATTTTTGAAATTTTATCGCTAAAAGCCTTATTTTTTACTTTTCAGTGCGACCCTTCCCAACTATCCTCACAACGATATAAATTAGTCCATAAATGTCTTTTGCAACAAAATTTTCACTTTTAGAGATCAAAAAAATTATTCTCTAAAACTCTTATATGCTATAGTGTTAGATAATGAAAATATCAGAAAATTAACAAATAATTAAATAAATTAAAAATACAAAAAAATGGATTGTCAAAAAAATCTTGTTTGGTTTGTTTTTTTAAAATTTATTTTAAATTTTTTTTAAAAAAAATTAAAAATTAATTTGGTTAAAAAATAAAAAATAAAAAATAATTATTATTTTTATATAATTTTATTTTTTGAGTGGTTAAAAATAATTTTTAAAAATTAAATATATTTTTCATATTTATTTTTATTAAATTAGTTTTTATTTTTTTAAAAAAATCTAATTTTTTTTTTTTTAAACAACAAATCAAACATGTTCCAGAATTTTTTTTTTTTTTTTTTCATCTAACATAATTCTTTTTTAAATTTTGTTGATTTATCAAAGGGATTTTAGCAAGGGTAATATCGTTCATCAATTTATATTTTGGTAATATCAGCTAATCATTTTTAACGTTTAGTTAATGGTAGGGGTTAAATTGTTATGGGAATATAAACCTCGGGGGCGGATGTAATTTCTAAAACCTCAGAAAAAATCTGTAATTTAGCTAAATCTCAAGGGAGGTGTAGGTAATTTGCCCAAACTTTAATGAGATTTGGAAATAGAAATATAGGTGTATAAAAAATATATGTAGATAACTATTTAGAAGTCCCTATCTCAAAAATAAAATAAAAAATAAAAATAAAAAATAAAAGAAAATTGTTTAGAATTTGAATTATGGTACAAATTTGAGAGCAATAATATGTTTAGTATTTTAGTTTTGAACATTTATATTTATCATTTGATGTGTCACACTTTATAATTATTAAATATTAATATACAAATTAATTGAATCCTTCGGATAGTGTTTGATTCACTATAATGCGATGAAATAGAATGAAATGATTGTTTCTTTAATCTAGATATACAATGATCATTCATTTAATATAGTGAATAATAATTTTATTTATAATATATATTTTTTTATTATTTTGTTTAGTGAATTAAATGTGAAAATAAATATTTTAATAGACCAATCATTTTATTCCACTCCATTCCATTCCAATGAACTAAATGAATATAATATTTTTACAAATTTAAACATGATATAGTGTAAATGAAATTTGAAAGAAACCGAATTCATATGTTTAAATTTTAGACATTTTTTTAAATATCATTTTGGATACATATGATTGCTGATTTGGAAGGTATAAAAAATTATAAAGTATTAAGGTTGTGTGTGGTTCATAAATTTGGATAGTAATTTGGAAACGAAAAATAAAAAAGTGAGTGAAATATGAATGAAATATAATTACATTTTATACACTTTTTTACACTTTCTTTCTCTTTTCCTTTTTAAATCTCTACCTAAATCTATAATCCAAAAACACAATCAAGAAAATCAAAGTAATGAAAAATGACATTATATTTGAAAGGGTTAATTACAGTCACTATTAGAAATGGATGCCCATGTGGCATGACCCTTTTCAGCCTTTTGAACCTTATCCAAATGGGTTTTGAATTTGAATTTGAATTCAAACCTATTTGGATAACCACTCAGGATATATATCTATCATATCCTGATATGGATAGATGATATAGATATCAGATATTATCTCATATAACTAATATGGATAAATGAGATAAATAGATTATATATCTGATATATGGGATATGGGTGATTAAGTGAAAAATAACGTATGTTTGAGTTTTTCCCATATACTGACTCTCTCCCAAAAACAACGATCAAAGCCATTTGCATTGTGGTTTGTGTAGGTGATATTCACTATTGTAATATCACCCCATTGCTGGGTTGATTGACTAGATTTAGGAAGCACGTAATTTACCCACGAGATCCTTCAATTCAGACTCTGTTTGAAAGGTATGACCATAATTTTTATTCCGCTGCGTTATACTTTGTTCACATTGGTATCAGAGCATTAATGGATATTTTCGTGTTTCCTTTAATCATGTGTTTATTTTTATATGTATATGTATACATTATATACATGAATGTTTGTAAAGGAGAAAAAAAATCTACTTTTATTAGATTAAGAGCATAAATTTTTTTTTTTATGTTCATTAATGTCTTTTTTAATACCATAAATGGTTTTATTTTAAAAAAAGGAGTCCAGCAGTACAAAAATCAGACCAGAAAACACCCTGGAAGGCGGCGTGTGGTCTGCACGCGCCACCTGACGCCGTGAGCCGTTTCCACGCGCTCCTACGCGCAGCCACGTGCTCCCACGCGCCAGATGCCCTGTCGACGCGCCTGCACGCTCCCTCACGCACGCGTCAGCGGCGCTGTCCACGCGAGCACCCTCCGCGCCACGCACGCGCGCCGTACTCTGAGACACGGGCTGAGCCGCGCACCGAGTCGCGTGCTGAGCCGGGCTCGCTGAGCCGCGCCGTTTTCCTCCGCCGGCTCGGCTGGCTTGGCTGCTGATGTATTAGGCGCTGTTTGTTTTGTTTTTAATTCTGAATCGCGTTAAATGGTCATAATTAATTCATTACATATTTGTTTTATGCGTGGCTTGTACTGTTAGACTTAGAATTAATTTTTCTACATTCTGTAAAATTTTGAAAATTTTCAGAAAATATAAAATATTTTTTCTGTGTTAATAATTCATGTTTTATGCTTTAAAATGCTTCTGGTATTGCATAAATAATTTTCTGGGGTTGAAATATTTATTGTAGACTTCTGAAAGCTTTTATTATTTACTGGTAATATTGTCTCATTTTATCAGTTTCTGGATTTTTTTATTTCTAATTTTATGTGTATTTATTAGTCATTTAAAATTCCAGAATATTTCAGAAAAATTTCAGAATATTTCAGAATGATGTACATTTTGATTATGGCATAATCTGAATATTGTTTCTGTTTATCAGTTTCTGGATTTTTTATTTCTAATTTTATGTGTGTTTATTAGTTATTTAAAATTCCAGAAAATTTCAGAAAATTCCAGAAAATTTAAAAAATGATGTACACTTTAATTATGGCATAATCTGAATATTGAATACAACATATTTTTTTTGGGTTTTCAATATGTTGCAATTAAAGAAGCATGATTATTTATTTATTTATTTATTTGAATTCCATCATTAAATAAATATAGCATGAGTTGTTTGTAAATTTATATTGAGATGCTATTGTATGGAATTTATCATGCTTTGTATATGCCATAAGTAGTAGGAGATTGTTTGATTATTTTTTGCGCATGGAATGAAATTAAATTTTGATAATTATCACTAGAGGCGCAAGAGATGATTACGAGCATAGCAAATTTTCGATCTTGAGACATGTGTAAATAAGTAGTGGGAGATTGTTTGATTGTTTTTTTTTGCGCATGGAATGAAATTAAATTTTGATAATTATCACTAGAGGCGCAAGATATGATTACGAGCATAGCAAATTTTCAATCTTGAGACATGTGTAAAATTATCATTATTTAATTTTGATTCTTTTTGCTGCAAAATATTTTGTTTTGTGTTGCTATCATTAATATCCCCTGCGCATTTGTTTACTCTGTATGTAGAAATGGCTGCTAAGACAGTGGTGGCAGACTTAACTAAGAGAGAGAAATTGGATGACGACAATTATGATATATGGCGTCGTAAGATCCAATACCTCCTCAATGAGCAAGAAGTGTTGACCACACTTGAACAAGTGATGGTTGAGCCAGAGCAGGGCAATACAGCTCAACATCGTCGTGATTTTGAAGCCTTTTAGACTTTGCGTAACAAAGATCGGTGTGCGCGCTTTACTATGTTGAGCAGCATGCACAACGACTTGATTAGTGAGTTTGAGCATTTCCCGACTGCATTTGAGATGTGGGAAGCTCTCAAGCAAAAGTTTGGTATTACCTCTTTGGCAAAGCTACGTGGGCTGACTATGAAGTTTGACTCATATCAGAAAATGGGGCATCACTCGATGAAGCAGCATTTGAGAGTCATGTCAGCCATGATACGTGAGCTTGCGGCTGCTGGGCACAATTTGACTCAAGAGCAGCAAGTACAGGCTGTGATATGCTCTCT